AAGACGTGCTCACCCACAGACATTCACAGGTTCATTTTGAAGTATTAGCAAAGCTAATGCTTTTTACGGAACTTACGCAATTACCCATCATACATTGTGATATAGCCTGGTTCGTTGGTCCGTTAGATCGGATTGCTTTCTCACTACAACCGAACCGCTCCAGAGTTCGTTTTCAATCGAGCCGAGACCACCTCGTTCAGGCGATCTCAGACCGATTGTTTTGGCGTGGATCCGAGAGCGATTGCCGTGTTCACACATGCCCAAACGAACCAAGCTAAAGGGGGAAACACGCCAGGTTCCGAAACAACGGGCCAGGTGTGAAAGCACCCTAAGACTCAGACTCAAGGCCAAGACCATATTTTCATGGGACTTGGGAGTATGTGGACTCGGTCTTGACACTGACTCAACCCTCTTCTGGCACCGGTCTTGATTTGGACTCAAATGAGCTGGTCTCGACTACAGCACTGCTGAATAGCCACCGATGTCCTTGCTGCATGTTTCTTTTCCTCAATTTGTGGGATGTCGCGGAGCACAAAATTCATTACTGGTGTCTATTTCTACATTGGGTCTTTCTGAAGAGTAATTATGCTGTACAACTAGGCTTCAAGAAAAAATATGCAATATTAACTATGAATATCCAGCCATCACATGATCATAGAGCAAGACAAGCCAATCATTCAACCCCGCAACCCTTAAAAACACATTCTTGTCGATTCAACCTTTATGAACTCCCACTTCAGTGAGTGCTATTGCTGGCTGAGTGAAAATGACACCACAAAGTAGAAAATAAACAGTCTATATGATTGGCTTGTAGGAAAAGAAGAAGTCTTGATGTGACTGGATACATAAACAACATAATCTGGCACCATTATTTTAATTACAGCATTTAATAGCTCTTGCGAGGCATAAGACAAGCCAAACAAATAAGACCTAACCAGATTACACAGTAGGTGTCTGCCGTTTGCCTCCTTCTGACCAATTAATGCCATTTACTGCCAGTGAACACTAATGTTTTAATTCTCGCTCAGAAACCGCAGGCCCTTCTTCTCCTTGTGTGCCTAAAAGACTAATCTAGCTGACGAAGGGAGGCAGCAGCAGACACAGATGAGGAGGTTAATAAATGAAAACGCTGAGAGGAAGAAAGCTGCTAATCTCACTCAGTGGTTTAGACAGCCATTGATTACAGTTGGGTTAATTCATCCTGCAAGCTCTTAAAAAAAGGTTCATTTCCATAATTTTTTTATAAAAAAATAAACTAAAAGAAAAGAAAAGAAAAATCAAAACAAAATAAATTTTAAAAATGAAATCAAATATAAATTAAAAAAATTATTAAAGAGTCACTGTCATTTAAAGAATCCCAGCTGATGCAAAAATGTGAATGACTGCAAATATAGAAGCACACTAAATCTCTAAATTATTTTAGTAATGCAGGCCACTTAAGCCTCAACATTGTAAACTTGCCATCTGAATGCTGTAAAGACCTCAATTTCTCTAGGCTTCCTGGCCAAAGTTCAACATACCCCGGAATTTCATATCACCAACTTTCACACCCAGCTGTGCAGTGACATATGTTAAGAGTCAAGTGCATGTCAATTTATGGAGGGCTGACCTTTTCCAGAAGGCTGTGGAACCACAAAACCTGGAAGCAGGAAGGGTGCTCCAGTGGTGAGACCAGCTGGCTTCAGCTCACTGACACCATATGTGGTCAGAGCGGTCACCAGGTTCACCAGGTCCTTTAGAGCATCTTTGGATTCCTCCTCTTTGGCCTGCTCCAACCTAATATACAGCAAGTATAACAGAGAATATCACTTCTCAATCATATCAGAATTAAAAAGAACTATACTTATTGCCTTTAAATTACTCCTTTTTTTGGGTGAACTATCCCATTAAGCTAACACTTTAAGTAAACATATAAGCAAGATAATGAAATAACTCAAATACACTACCATTCTAAAGTTTAGGGTCAGTAGGTTTTTTTATTTTTTATAAATCACATTCAACAAGGACACACTCAATTGATCAAATTGACAGTAAAGACATTTATAATGTAACAAAAGATGTTTATTTCAAAATGGTGTTTTTTTTTATTGTACTTTCAATTCATCAATAAACCCTTAAAAAATATTAAGCAGCACAACTGTTTTCAATTGATAATAATAAGAAATGTTACTTGAGCACCGAATCAGCATATTAGAATAATTTCTGAAGGATCACTACCGTTCCAAACTTTTAAACATACTGTGCATGAGCATGAAATATTGATTTATTTTGTAAGGAGTCATGTAATACGTCTGAAAACGTACAGTCAGCTGATCATTCCTGCAAAATAACCCTCCTCCTGTCTGGGTTTATTTTAAGACAATGACCACACATTATCCTTCACATATATACCCTGAAGATTTGTGCAAGAAATAATTACAAATCAGTCACCTGATCATAAGATCTACGAGGAACGTGTAGCCCTGACACATGCGGAAGTCATCCAGGAGAGTCTGAGAGACATCACTCGAATCCTTCAGAAAACAGGAGAGCCCGGCAAACATCTCCACAATCTCCAGAGGAGAGAGGTCATCTGACTGCTGCATGTTCTGGATGCACGTTGACAAGCACTCTTTTTCTGCAAGAGAGAGCCAGAACAAATACTTTCACGTTGGTTGTGAATTTTTAAGCAGTTTTAATTTTTTTGGCAGTAAACCAATAAATGCCTAAAGACAGCATTTCCACATTCACATACTTCAAAGGACTTAAATCCATGTGTTTTCAGAAAGTAAGTTTTGATTATAGATTCTTAAGGGCCTAGATTTGAGCGTAACAATTCTGGGCAAAAATGTCTGCAAACACCAGACATTGACCTCTAAAAACGCTAAAAGCACAACAGTGACTAACTGGTTATGTAAGGTTAAAATGCTATTAGGGTTCATAAGATGCCAGCAGCAAAATGTTGTCAGTATTATGCATCCACGCACAGCAACGGCAAAGAACCACAGTGAAAGAAGTCAAATCATCATCATTGCAACTTACCGTGGATGTACTTGACGACGTTGACGCTGAGGCCGTGTCGGGAGATGGTGGTAAGCACTTCTCCAGCGCTCTTCCTCCAGGGAAGGTTGTGGGGGGGACACCAGGAGGTGATGGCACTGAAGAGCAGCTGTAGATCATCCTTCTGGGCCAGCTCTTCTGCCGGAGACACAAAACTGCACAGCTTCACCAAGATCTGAGCAGAACAATCAGAAGAAAAAGTCACAGTTGGTCTCAATATGTATGTCTTATGGGTATTTTGTGGAGAAAATGCTGTTCCTAAAGACAGACAGACCTGGACAAAGACTTTCTGTAGAAGAGCTCTGCGGTCCGCCAGAGGAAGCTCAGGCTGGGTGGCAGCAGGAACCTCGGGCATGTGGGGCAGGTCAAAAAACAAATATAGACATTTCACCAGAGTAGAGGGCACCGACATGGTGGTCATACAGTCCACTGTTTTCTGTAGAAACACAGAAGGGGAGGGAATCAAATTCAGATAATGAGCAGATCATGTTTTTTTCTGTATTCAAGAACTGGCTACTACAAATAACTGGCAACCCGTTTAATATTCTACAATTCTGTTATAGGGGTCATATGATGCGATTTCAAGTTTTCCTTTCTCTTTGGAGTGTTACAAGCTGATTGTGCATAGATAAGATCCCTGAAGTTGCAAAGACTAAAGTCTCAAAACCAAAGAGATTCTTTATCAAAGTTAAGACTCTGCCACGCCCCCCTAAAACGGCT